TTCCGGCTTCCGGTTTCCAACCAACTTTCCCTTCGAAATGCAGAGCCATACCACAATATTTCATTAGGGAATTCTTCGAAACCCAGTTTTTCTTAATAATATGTATCAATATTTCATGAATCTGTTTAACTAAAGGCATGACTTTATTATTTTTCTCTATCTTCGACTATTCAGAACTTGGATTGTCCCAGCATCAGATGACCTCAATACCAAAAAGGTTACTGCTACAATGACAATGAAAGTTTTAAAAAGCAGGCTATCCACTATCTGGCAAAGACCTCTAATAACGCATTAACGTAATGAGAATACACTTGGTCGAATATTTCAAGAAGCCACCTTTGGGACTTCTCCGCATAAATAGGGCACTCCATTCCACGCTTGGCGACCATATCTCGTTGGTTCGCACTTGTCAGGGTGGCATTCTTTCATGCTTACTTCGACAAACTTATAAAGTCGCTTGTAGGCCAAAAGTCAACAACTATATCCATTCTGTTAAGCCTAACTAGCAGAGGGTTATGGAGGATTATGCTTGACTATCTGTCTTTTGGCTTTATTTGAGCATTGGTGTCAACACCTTCATTTCGTATGAAAGTTCAGGATGAAGAGATTCGCAAGTCAGTCTCACCAAAATACGTCGGCTGATTCGCGTTGTACTACAGCCGTTTGACCTTAAGACGACGTTCAGATTTATGCAGTCCACGAGACATTCTCCAACTTTTCCGACAAAGATGGGCTGAGCTTTCGTTCGTCATGCCACATGACGAATATCTTCACAGCTGGGACTCATTCTTGTAAAAGCCTCAAGCTAACGCTAAGTCAAGAGGACTGACCGGCTATATACTTATTGCGAGCAAAATTTAAGGTATAGATGGATATAGAAAGGTTAAGTTCATTCACGTATATTCAAGTGTGTCTGTGTGTGTTTGTATGTTAACATCTGTACACAAAACTCGACATAACTAAGGGAGTCATCAAGGCTTGATGACCAAAGTAGAAACAGGAGAAAGGATGACCGAGATTGCGTTAGTCCGTAAGTAACCCTGGTCGAATTGATCATATTTAGGTCTGTACGCGTGAAAGTCGGGTTATGAAATCACAAGTCAGAACCCGTAAGTTTGGGTTATTAAGGTTTAATGGCTCAAAGAGAAATTCGACTGGGATTGGCTGATGAGCTTGACATGCCATTTGAATGAGTATTAATTTGGTTAGAACCATCGTTCAACTGACCAGTTGAGTCGTTTACTTTTGGACGGCGGCCCAACACCCTTTCTCAATCTTTCAATAAAGTATAAGTAATTTTTACTCAACTTTCTAGCACCATTCCTCACATTCATCGCATTCCATTATCTATTAATTTCAATAGCCTCTTTTATCTTGGGTTTCGTAGCAGACATACAAAAATCAGCAAACCTCTGCGTAAGAGACCATTTTATCTCATCCTCACTTTCCGTCATGTGCTCCGCTAATCTTTGGTGAATCGGCTGCCAGGTCTCACCAACATAAGGTCTACCACAAGAGCACATAATCTTATACCAGACAGATCTTGATAGTGGGCCATATTTCTCTCTAAAAGACGGTATAACTGAAGAAAGTATCAGCGTTTCTTTGAAAACTGTCTTTATCCCCCACTTCCTTATTAGTTCTGCTATCTTTTTGGAAAGAAAACATGACAGCTGTATTAGAGCATAAGAAAGGTTCTCGGCTCGCCTCTCTCAGACAAAATAGTCGCCGACTGAAAGTTAATTCCTCATTAAAGATATATTATTATCAATTAGTCTCCAAAGATAATTATTCTCTTGGAATAAAATTTTCAGTCTTCTTAACTCTTCCGCAAGCCCCCTGCTCTTAATAAATATATATTTTCAAACGCCAACATTAGTTTTGTAACTATGGCTAGAAAGAAAATTACAAACAAAACCAGCAAATGCTAGTTTCCTATAAAAATCTTTACATCTACAACTTGCCATCTTCCGTAATATCCATAACATCCAAAAAAGGTAATTTCCTATTTTCCTCCAATTCCTTTGTGAATATAATATTTCTTTCACACTGGTTAAGCGAAAATAGGAAATTATCTAAACTGTCCTTACCATGCTGTCAGATCATAAAATAATAATACATATATCTAACAAGGATTTTGGGATTCAGAATTAGCTCTTGCATTAAGTGTTCCTTAAACTTAACCATGTAGTTATTCGCCGAAATTGGAGGCAAGCAAGAATCCATTGCAAGTCCTTGTGTCTATTCATAAAACTTACCTTCAAAGGTGAAATATGCACTACTACTACTCAGCTCGTCTTCACCCGAAACGTTGGCGGATGTCTCGTGGACTGCATCAACTTGAGCGTCGTATACAACCCCAATCAACCGACGTCTTCTGGTGAGATTGACCTACGAAGCTCTTAATAATGTACTTACATACGAAAGGAAAGTCTTCACATAAATCGTATCTAAAGATATTTTTCAAAACCCGCATTTTCTTGTTGACACCCTTTCTGAGGCAATCTCCCTCAATTACTGTAAAAACGTGCAAAGGTTTCTTCCTTCCTATGACAGATATTATCAGATCAAGGTATCATTCTTACAACCATATTCAAGCTAACGAATCAAGAAACTCACTGGCTTGTCCATTAATGTTGTATATATATACCTTATATATGTGCTCTTTGATGAAGTATAGCATGATTTGGTTTGTTTAAGTTGAATGCAATCTTGAAGTATGTGAATATGTCCGTCTGTTATGTTTATGAGCCTTCATATGTTTATATCTGTACGAAATCAGCAGTGATTGCTCAAAATAATTAGCTAATAAAAGTGACGTCTGTTCTCGGCCATCAAGGTTTGATGACTACCATCACCTCCTTGTGGTGGTGAGTTTAAACATCAGTCGTACAAATGTCAGTTGGTGCTCTTCTTTGTCTAGATGTGTGGACTAAAATGTATAGAAAAGTGAACCTAATTATAGCCAATAAAAGGGGTACTAGTCAACTCGCCTCCTTTTTTCCGGTCGCTTAATACTCTATGCTTGAAGCTAGCAATTAAGCATAAGTTTTTCTTAAATAACTTTTTTCCGATATTCCTGGTGTTCAGTGTGTTGCCTAGTCATTTGATTTCGATGGTCTCTCTAATTTTACAATCAACTGCAGATATATCATAATCAGCAAAACGAAAAGTTTCAGACTATCCGTTTGCCCCAATTGCTCTGATTTTTAACCCAACTGTCTTTGTGCTCAGCCACTCTTTGTCGAATGTGACGGCAAGTCTCTTCAGCATAAAAGAGACTATATGAATAAATTGTCATAGCAACCTGATCTGGACAATGAGTAAACGTCCTCTCTTAAAGTGGACATAACTAAAGGAAGTATCATAGTTTCTCTGAAAACCCTTTTTATTCCCCACTTCCTCATTAGTTCGCTATCCTTTTAGAGAGAATACACGACGGTAAAGACAAAACATAGTAAAAGGTCTCATTATTCATCATTTAAAAAGCTATTCTCTATTAATCTAATGTTATTTTTAATCAGACCTAGAGGATAATATTTATTAAGCAATATCATTTTGAGTCGATCCAGTTCATTATCACAACATTCTTTATCAGCTAGTCTTATACTCCATATTTTCAAACGCCAACCTTTATTTTCTTCATCGTGTAAGGGACTGAAGCTTAGCACATTTTCACCAAAATTGAAGGATATTTCCTTGTGTACTGTGTCGACAAGATGTAAGTAGAGTTTCGAGACTACCAGTACATTTCTTTAAAGCCAACCGATACCTGGCCAAGAGAAATCAATCTTCTGTTGGTATCTACTTTTGAATCCCTTCATCGCACATTTTCCTTCGAAATAGAAATGAGCTTGACAGTTGACAACAAAAGGATGCATCGGAAAAACACTTTTCTTCTAAATTATAAACTCATTTCTATAGGTTGTTTTCGTGTCAGCCAGTGTGTATGATTGCTTATGAGTTCGTATGTACGAGTTTGGATCCAGCGTTGATCGTCCTGAGCAGTTAAAGCATAGCATTTAATGCGGATAATCAAATGCATACCATGCCACACAAAGTATAGCTTAAGCCGCATAAAATCGGATCCTTAAGAGTGACGACCGAAACTATCTTTGACAAAATGGAGCATCTTTGCTAGAAATCGACTCATCAAAAAGGAAACCGTCTACAAGTTGCGTTTAAATACCAATTATCCTCTTAATAACATTTTATTTGGTTGTATGCCTAATGCACCAAGGCTCAAACTCGCATCAATCAGTCGTTTGGTAAGGTCCACTTGTCTTCGCATCTTCTGCTTCTGTCAGGTACACTTATTCCATCAGATGATCGGTTGCTCCAAATGACCGGCTTGATCGGCTTGAATCGGATCAGCTGTAGCCCCAACTGGGGGCCTCTCGGCTCGTTGGACGAGGCTCAATTGAGCGAGTTGCTGCGAGGAGCTGCTGCCGCCCTGGCCGAATCAGCTGGAGTCCCGAGTCCCAATCTCCCTGGCGCTGTCGGCAGCGGTGGTGACGGCGCTGGCGGTGGCGTCAATGAGGCGAATGCTTTAGCGCCTCGAACTGGTGGCGAGAATCTGCCTGTTTGGCGTGACAATCGGGCCTCGAGAGTCCGGCGACTGCGGACTGTGGAAGGCGAAGAGTGGACGGAAAGACAACGCGAAGCGGCAGAGCTGATGAAAACGGCTGTCGAAAGCCCGGCAGACTATGGCCGCCTTTTGAGACGGCTTACTTTTGATCCCGACTGTGTGAGAAATGGTGACAAGCTGAACGCTTGCATCTACGTCTTGTGTCCAGGTGATGACATCTGAAATGAGTTATTCTGAATGTCCAGCAATGTTCAGCGTCTCATTAAGCAACTAGCTCCTAGTAGACTTGATAAGCCTTTGCTCATGGTCCATTAGAACAGATAAAATCACTGCTTTTTGAGATTGCTCAACTACAATTGCTTTGTTATCTTCCCTTTTGAATATTGGAGACCTGAAAATAGGGTTCTTCTTGCTTTATTCTAGGAGGAATGAAGGTTATCCTCACATGGGTGCTCTTTTTTTCTGAATTATATTACATTCTGAAGATATAAAGACCAAGATGTTGTGGCCTCTGGTATGGTCACAGTCTCCTTTCGATCTTGTTGCAACTTGGTCTTGTTGTCAGGGGGACTTAGTAGAACGCACCTAGTCCGAAGTTGTCTGCCATAGCAGTTGTCATGATTCCCAGAATGACAAAATTCACTGATGATACCGACTACGATGCCGGCGAATCGTTTGAGAATGTACAAAGTCCACTGTCTGATGCTGGGAATCATGACAACTAGGTGCGTTCTACTAAGTCGTCCTGACAACAAGACCAAGTTGTGACAACGAGGCCAACCCACTTTATTACGTTCTGCCTTCATACTCATGTTCACTCTGAGGAGACCTTGATATATTTTCATTGAAGTGTTCAACTTATGCCAGTCACATGTGGCAGATGTGCGAAAAAGGGGAAAAAGAAAGAACTTCTTCTATCAGTCAACTTATCTTAGGCGACTTTGACAGGTTAGGTTTTATTCAATAATTGTTAACAAAGATTCCTCTAAAAACAACTTCTTAAACAAGAGCTGTGGGCACCCTAAGCCACTCTACGTTGAGATGAGCAGGCCTCATGATGCAAATGAATTTCATTACTTTTTCGTTCACAAGTAGGTTTACTCACTGTGCGGACATTCAACTACCAGTCGCCTTGTCACCTTAAACGAAATAGGGGGCATACAGCTCATAAATAGGAATTTGATTAAGCCTTGCTTCCAAAAGCTCTTCTCATCCAGTTTGGTCTGTAATTTCGGCCTCGTTCGGACTGATCCGGCCAGCACCCCAGCAGGAATCGAACACGCGTATTCCAGCCTATAATCTCGACCTATTACCACCGGGTTTGCTGATAAGGCCTAGGCGAGGTCGAAACTGCAGTCCAGCCTGGATGATGACAACTGTTGGGAAAACAAGGCAATGTGAACTACATTGGAAACATCAGCTCTACTCATATCATCGTGGGAAAATTCTACTGCCAGTCCTTCATCACCTTAAACGAAATAAGGCGTATACATTTCATATTAATGAAGTAAGTCTACCTAATTGAGTTGAGGGAGATGGCCTAATCCATGGGGCTAAGGACTATTCTATGTCTAGTCACAGTCCGGCATATTTGAGCTGCCCTCTGCTGAATCGTTCAGGCGTAAGATTAATCCAACTGTCCTGAGTGCGCTTGGGAGGTTAGCCTGAAATCATTAGGGTCATGCAGCAGACAAAACTGGATTATCATCGAGATGAGTCGCTTTTTTGTTTAAGAAACAATCGACTATGTTAGGTGGCGGAACTCGCTCAAGAAAATCGGCATGTATGCAGCACAACAAAGTTATATCGAGTATTGTAGCATGACTCTCCATTTCGAAGGAAAAGTTGGCTGGAAGGAATTCGTGATGTGGTCGCACCGGATACCGAAGGAGGGTTGTGGCATAAAGAAGACTGTTGAATTGTGCAA